ATGGAGAAGATACCAGACACTCTGTCCGCCTATAATTATCATCGGTTCTGTCGGCATAGAATTAACTACCTACTGTGGAACAAGGGCCATATGGAATCAGGAATGGGCTGATACGGGAATATTGAGGAGATAAAATTCAGTCGGCACCGAGGATGCGTACAGTCTAAAAACACAGATTTTGAGAATTCGTGACGTTTTCTGAATAACAGTTACGTACCTGCTGGACACATCATGCCGTGTCTATCACGTGCTTTGTGTCCAGGCCTCAAAGCACCCCTGTGTGCAAGTTACTTGATCTAATTATCAGGTGAGGAAACTGAAGCCACCTGCGGAGGCACCTGGTTCAAGAACAAGAGGGGGGTGCTCATTGGCCAGCTGAGTGGCATTTTGTATTACGCACCCTAAGTTAACACTTGAAAAATCCCCAGTGGAAAGGTTTCTCCAAAATTTCCTCTTTGCCACTACCCACGCAGAACCTCGCCCTTCTTGGCCGCTCACACCCAGACGGCACCCCTCCCTCTCGGGCACAGGGACGCCCCTGAAAGCTGGATGCTGACAGTATGCCTCGCCCAAGCACGCTCCACAGTCCTCCCAAAAAGGAGGGCCTAGAAGCGCCTGTGTCAGCTGCCAAGAGACTAGAAAGGTCAGCACCTCCTCGGTAATGTATTCAAGGTGTGAGGGGAGATCCGGAGTCCGCTTCCTAAGCAAGAGGCTCCCTGTCACCCTGCTGCTCACGCGCCCTGAGTGGACCCCAGGTGTGCCGAGGTGGGGAGCCCTCCGCTCTCAGCTGGCCGTGGTCCTGGGGCAGCCGGGGGTTTCCTCAGCCAGCCATATCTTTCTGGATGCGCCGTGCCCTTAGAAGGACTGGGCCGTAAGTCGCCTCATGAAATATCTGGGCTCGTTGGTGATACGTGAGCGAACCTGTCTTGAGAGATAGAAAGAAGGCAGATAGGACAATGAGCAGTAGGTGGGAGAGTTGACCTGGGTCAGAAACATAATTGGTGACGTCAGGAGAATGAAACCTGCCGGTCCACCCGGCGACCCGACCCCTGAACTCATTAGCAAGGTCCCGTTGGCAGCTGCTGTCACAGCCACAAATGTGGAGACCTTGTCAAGATCGAGACTGAGTCAACGCATCTGAGATGCAAGGCTGGCTTGCCCCTTTGAACTCGGCTCCTATCATAGCCGTTTAGTTATTTTGTGAGTTTTTATCATTCTGGCGGTGGCGGGGAGAGGCTGGTTCAGAAGTACAATCTCTCTCCCTTTCTCCGGTTATAATCTTTTTATGAACTGTGAGAAACTCACGATGCCTTGAAGAAACTGCATTAAGAAGGTGTCAGCATGTTCGATATAAGCTCCATTTCCAAAGGTTTATGCACTCTGGAGAAATCTGCTTGAAGGTGAAACTTGGCATGTAGCGCCTGAGTCCCTGACTGTCCACACCTCATTTCATAGGTACTTACAAACGAGTCCTTCAAATTCACTGCATTTGGCATCTGTAAATTTTAGAAATAAAAATGGCTTTAATAGCAGGTGGTTTCTGAATTTAATGTCAGTGCACACAATTTTCAGAAAATCAGAGAAGTCAGGAATACCAGAAGTCCTGTTTTATAGATTCTAGTATGACAAGAGTGTGACGGGAAAGAAAAATCATTTAAAGGGACAGATGCCAGAAAAGTGTTAGTGTCCTCACAAGGGCGCCAGACTGAGACGGATGTCATCACCTTTCCTGCCCCAGGTCCCTTCTTGCCCCATTCCCTGCCATGTGTGATAGGCCAGGCCATGGGTCAGAAAATCACTGAAAAGGCAGCCACGAATCTCACTCTGCTTTTTTTTTTAAATCCTCACCCGAGAGTATTTTCCCATTTATCTTCAGATGGAGTGGGAGGGAGAGAGAAGGAGGGAGAGAGAGAAAAACATCGACGTGAGAGAGGCCCATGGATTGGCTGCCACCTGCATGACCCCAACCAGGGCTGGGGACTGAACAGCAGCTGAGGTACGTGCCCTGCCCTTGACCGGACTCGAACCCAGAACTCCGGTCTGCAGGCCAACCCTCTAACTGTTGAGCCAAACCGGCCAGGGCTCACTCTGCTTTTCGAGTTTCCATTTGAGAGGGCTGGGTTAAGTGCTTTCTGGACTATAAAATATCTGGTGGGGAGAGTTTTCTCAGACAAAGCCGAAAAGCATTACTCCTGGACAGGAACTCAGTTCCAGGAGACTCCGGCATAGAACTCTGCAGGTGCCGTCGGCGGGCAGAGGGAACAGGCACCAGCAGCTGTGGTTCTCAGGAGCCGTGCAGATCAGGGCGCGTAGGCGGTCGGCGCCCTGCACCAGGCAGCAGCTACCTAGATGCGGCGATGGCGGCGGTGGACTCCAGCCCCAGGATGGGAGCTCGGGAGCCAGCTGGAATCCAGTGGCCTGCACCAGTTTCAGAGGAGAAGCTGGGTACCTTGCCCAGGGGCAGGGGACCCTTCTGTGAGCCTTCTGCTCACGAGGCTGCCTCGGCGGCTGTTAACTTAGTGGGCCCCACTTCTGGATTTACCTGTGCTTTTCGGGAGAATCAGTATAGCTTTGTGGTTATGCACATGGTCAAATCCAAGGGTTTTATTTTTAGCATATGGCCTTGGGCAAGTTATTTAACCTTTCTGAGCCATGAATCCTCATTTGTGAATGGTGGTAATAGCTCTTACCTTAGGGTTGTGGAGACAAAGAGACGATGCCCAGGAAACGGAACTCCTGGTAGCTGTAATAAGCAGCCGGACTTGATCTGTCTTCACGAAAGGAAAAGAGTCTCACGCCTCCCTCCATGCTGAGCCCTTTTTGGTTCAGGGGTAGGCAATCCCAGAGATGCTGCGAGTAAGTTATTATGCCAGGCAGCCTGGCAGATAGGGACTAGCACACAGCTGTTACATCCCATGACTCTTTGATTCCCATGCTCGAAGGCTGGGTCATTTCTGATGAAGATCCATTTCTGTGTGAAACTGAAATAGTTCAGACATTTAGAATTGCCCAAGTACAACGCATGAAAATGCTAAGTGTGAGCGCCGTATATCTAGGCTAAAGTAAAGAAAGAACAAAGGATCTGAATAGCAGGGTCTTTCTTTTCGAACTGCTCCAGCAATGCTTGCCCATACAAACAGCGGGTCATTTCTCCATTCTGTGACAATGAAGTCTTCTTAACTAAGGAGAAAATGAATTGAGAAGATAATGAATCACCTATAAAGCTGGTTGAATGTAAAGCTGACCAGGTGGAGTCCCTGAAATGAATGGGACTCTGTGACCCTAGGAAAGATCTCAGACCATAGCTGCAGAACTCAGGCTCCACAGTCCGTGACCAGCCCCAGGTGTGACATTGTGTGAGAGAGCTAAATGGCACCACACTGGAGAAAGGCATCTGCATCTTCCTACAGCTATGCCTTTGGAGAGTGAAGACTCTTCTGACATGGACCTCATCTTTCTAGGGCTTCCAAAACCAAGCACCAAACCTACGAGAACCTATAAACACCAACTCTTACCCACCCCTTTGCTTTTACCTTAGTATTAGGGCATTAGTAGAATTCTGCTCAGATCAAAGAGGTTGCAGGTTTGGGGGCGTGGGCTGCTTCTAGAGTTCAGACACTAATTGCTGAGCATCAAATGAGACTGTATAAGAAAGGTACTGAAGGATAAACTATCATATATCTACTCATACCTAATAAATATACTAAGCATTTTGTATATGACACTATTCATTATTTTATTCTTTGAGCTATGCTAGGTATCATTCTAAATGCTAGAGATTTGATGGTGAACACATTTCTATCCTCACAGCAACTCTAAAAGAAACCTGGGACCTTGAGAGGTTAAGGATCTTCTGCTGGGATTCACACAATTAGTTATTGCCAGAGGCCACACTCCAAGCCACTGCTCCATAAAGCACCACAGAAATGTTAGCCGTTGAGACTCTTGATAAAAACATTGCATTGCATTCTGTTACATTCCGCGCCATGTCTAACACATTACTGAGTTGTGCCTCTTACCCAGGCCTAAACTTAGGATGCTGCCAGGAACTTTACTAAGGATGTTTCATTCCAAGATTATCATATAAACAGGAGACTTGAGGGGTGACAGCCAGACTTGGAAACTGTCTCTCGGCTGGGATCAACCACAGCACCATTTCATAAATTAAATATGTAACATTTTTTTTCAGATGATGTATTTGTGAAGATGAGATATAGTTAACCGAATATGTCACACACCTATGGTGAAACCAACTCAATTTGTTGTAGGGAATAGTGGGATCCCTGGAAATGACACGAAATCCAGAAGGTCCTGATGAGTTTTGTCATTTCATAGAGTTATGAGTGAAAGACAGAAAGTGGCTCTATAATCTCAGCAAGACATCAGATGGCAGTTGGGTCAAATGAAGTCCATGTGACACGTGATACCACCATGGGTAAAGTACCTTTCGGGATGACCCGATCGCATGCGACTCACTGGTCCTCACCCGCAGAGTGAGGCTGCAGACTTCGTTAACAGCAGAATGGACGGTAAATCCTGGGAGGGGTGTGCCGTTACCTGTGATAGGACACCCTCCAATCTGTTAGGCATGCTCATCACTCTTCTTTCAGTTACGTTTCACTTAATTGGTTGAAGTTGTGTGATTCCCAACTAAAATAAGGGTGATCAAAGTGATTTTTGGTCTCTAATGACTATTGTTTTTCTAGTAGAACTCTCGAGAGCCGTCAGGGTATTCATGCCCGTGCCCCCTGCTGCCAGTGACGGCCGGCCTTCTCACCTCATGTTATGGGCAGCGAATATTCTCACCTCATGTTATGGGCAGCGAATATTCTCATGTTCAATTAAACGTCTGTTTCATGCCACCGACTGGAAATTTACCACACCCTTAAGAGTGCTTCTTCCTTCTAGGTGTCCCCTTTCCTCCAGGTCAGATCCAAATGCCCAAGATCCTTTGACCCTTCCATGTGCGCCCTCTCTAATCCACTGCATTACTCTGCTAGAGTCCAACTGCCAGATGAGGACCCTGGACAGTGGGATCGGAACCTTCCCACTCCCGGACTCGGGAGCACGCTCAACCGGACGGTACCTATGCCAGTCGGACTCCCCAGAGGACGCCGAGCCCCTCCTGTGTCTCCAGCCAGCCCTCTGCCCAGCTCCTGCCAGCCGCGCCCAGACCCTCGAACGAGAAGTGCCTTCCTCCGCTGACAGCCGGGGCTCTGTGGACAGCGCCATCGTTCACTCCACGTCCGACCCCCTCATGACGGCCAGGGGGGCGCGGCCTCTGCAAAGTCGCCTCCCCAAACCAGCCTCCTCAGGTAAAATGCCTATTGCCTTCCACATTAGGTTGTTTGCCCACCAAAATGATGCTGAAAAAATGGAAAACAAGCCACAGGAAAGGTTTCCACCAGGCATCAGTTGAGTGACCTCTGCCTAATCGACATGAGGATGCAGAAAAATCCCTGCATGTCCTCAACCGAAAAGAAAAAAGACAAGCGTTGAACATTATCTGCCTTTGCATCATGCTAAGGAGCGTACATACATAGAAAGGTAACAAGCATGTAAGCACAGGTATATGGATATATAAATTGATTAAGAAAAAAATGCAACATGCACATGGGCTTTTTTATCTTTTAAAATAAGTTTAACTGAAGTATTGTTTGCCCGGTAACCAGAAATGTGTCTTCTGACAATCCCGTCCTGTTCAAATATATGTGTATGTTGAACTATAAAAACATGGTTTGATGTATCAGTGTAGATTGTGCGTTAACTACGTGGAACGGAGTGGGCCTTCCCACTGAGAAGTGCTGTCTTTGCTTGCTGTCAGTTGAAACAAGCTTTCATGATTAAAGGTAGGACCAGGCTAAGGGTCAAAGTTTTTTTTATTGGCCCCTCAAGATTAAAAATATTTATTGTAGCTCAAGATGACATTACATGATTTTGAACTTGTCTGGCTTACGTTGCATTTATGACATACGTAAGCATGTGGAATAGAACTCTGAAGACTTGCATTTGTAATTTGGTGAGGAGAAAAGAGCCGCAAGTAGAGATTATATTATAGGCCTCTGAAAAATTAGAAAAGGAGACTTTTAATTACGCATCTTTGAATCAGTGTGATTGGGCGAATCCATGGCTGAATTCTTCCTTCACACTGGAAACACGAACTGCCCTGAATGTTTCCTTGCAAACTCCTGCTCCTTTCAAGCCAAGGCCATGTTTTAAAAAGCTGGAATGCATATTATTTTTTAAATAAATGCCTTGTTCATTAATGACACAGCCTCCAGAGATTCAGGGGCGAAATCTTAGTTATAGATTGTGCTCCATGCCTGAATAGTCACATGTGTGACCTCAATTCAGCGGCAGGCTGCCAAGTAGATGCCATGATTAAACACTGTCATTATAACAAATTGAATGGAAACCGCAAGCCTTGAATTGCTTCATAAGAAGGGGGTAGGAAGGAGATTGTTCTGATCTTGCTGCAAATATTCACTGCACCAGTTTCCTAAGGTTTGTGTCTTAATTAAATTGTCGTGAAGAGTTGTAAAAAAGTAGTATCTGGCAACGAGTGAGGTCAGCGTGCTGCGTAGTTTTGTGGCACCCATCCTGAAGCTTCCTGTCCACCGATGGTGTCCCCACCGTGGTTCAGAGGCAGGGCCAGCTTGCCAAGACTTCTCCTTTTTCTGTGGCCATTGGTTACTCATTTTAAAACTTAAGGAATGGAGAACTCACTGCAACCAAAGAAAGTGGGCTAGAGCAGTCACTTCCTCCTTAATGCATGCGTTTGAATTTGTCTTCCTCTTATCCCCACATCAAAAATGGAAGCAGCGGCACAGCGCTCACAGTCTGGATGAAAATACAATTACTTTGCCTCTGCTCACAAATAAAACGCTGTTGATAACCACTGAGGCCGGGGGATGATAACAGCCTCTCCTTTCTGGCATGAGAAGAAATACCCTCTGCAGGTTAATCTACTGTTATGGGTAATGGAGGAACTTCCTTTAATTGTCCTCTGCTAATTACATCCTTGATCCTCAAAATGTGGTCCATGGGCCAACATCAGTAGTATCACCTGGTCACTTGTCACAAACGAAGCATCTCAGACCCCACCCTAAACCTACTAAATCAGAACCTGCAGTTTAATTAACAAAAGCTCAGCAGATACACATGCAAATCAGAGCTTGAGAAGTAGGGCCCTGCAGGATTCTAAAGACCTCTGAGCAAGGTTTCCCAAACCACATCATTTAAAATGAACTTGTCAAGTATGCTAGAAAAATCAGGGTTCCCTGCTCAAATGTGTTTGGGAAAGGCATAGGTAAATCTCCATTTGGAAATAATGACTGCCCCCATTAGCACAGTGAGGGCTCTGAGAAATGCTCCAGAAAGGAAACCTGGCAGTAATTTGATGAAAAACACTATTTGAGAAATAATCAGTGTTTCCCAGTTTTCCCTCTGAGAACTCTTTTTTTCATCCTCACCCAAGAACACTTTTGCTTTCATCTTCAGATAGAGCGAGAGGGAAAGAGGGAGGAAGAGAGAGAGAAACATCGATGTGAGAGAGACACATCGACTGGCTGCCACCCACACGACCCCCACCGGGGTCGGGGACAAACTGTAACCGAGGTGCATCCCTTAGCGGGAAGCGAACCTGGGTCTCTCTGGACCACAGGCCGATGCTCTAACTGCTGAGCAAAACCTGCCAGGGCCCCACTAAACTCTTTAACATGAGAAGCTTATCAACACTTTTATGAAAAAGTGGTCCAAGGGCAGTTTGCCTTTGGTCTCCAAGGGGGACATCCTCTATAGATGTGCAAGAACCGCGTAGACGTCTGTTCGCACGGACTGGCAGGGGGCAGAATGCTGGGAAAGGCAGCATTCACCACATTTGGACCTTTTTTATTATTTTTTAATATCTCCCTCCTTCCCCTCCCTAAATGTACATAGAGTTGCAAAAAGCTGACTGTAATTTCACATGCATTTCCTCACTTAGGAAAAATCAATTCCCAAAAGCAGAATGAAGCAGAGCCAAGGCCTCAGACTTGCTCGTCATTCGAATATGCTGCACACACAATGGCCAGGGAGCTGCTGCCAGACTGGAGGGGCGACGCCCCCCCTGCAGACACCCAGGTGAGCGGGAGGCCGTCGGGAGGCAGCCTCCACCTGTTGGTCCTGACTGTGAAAAGTGAACTCATTTAACACTTTTGTGATAGGTTTAATTTTAAGCCAAATGCAGTGATGGTTCAATAACTAAAAACCTAGGTTCAAGGCTCACACTTTTTCCTGAATTACTAAGTAGCACCATGGGTGTTTGGGCAGAGTCCAAAGTGCTTTCACGCATCTGCACCCAGACTCTTGAAGTATGGCTGCTCTGCCCTGATTGGACATGCAAAACAGGCATCTGCCCTCCCGAGTCATAAGAGCACCATTGAGAATGATTGGATGATATTTTTTCATTATCTCCTCAGTTACTTTAACCTTTACCTTGTTCCTATGAGAAAGGTAAAGCACGTATAATTAGACTCCTTTTAGGGATGAAGTAACTGAGGCCTGGAGGGATCGACTTGCCAGGGGCAGTGAGACCTGCATTTCTTTCATCTCTCATTTGTGCTCTGGGTTCTTCATCCACCCTGAGACGACTCCTCGATCATCCCTCCAGTTACTTGGTATTCCCTTCTATATCCCCTCCCTTTTACCACTTTAAGCTAATTCCTTGGCCCATATCCATCCTGTTTATTATTTCTCAACTTGTCTTGGGACTGGCCCACTTCAGGGTCTTTGGTGTTACCCAGCAGTGAGAGGGTGGGAAGAAGGCGTTAAGGACCCACTACCAGAGCTCCCCACCCTCCCGTGACGCTTCCGTGACCCTTCCTGCTCTGTTGCCTTGGCTCTCCCAATCCTGGCGTTAGGGAGAAAACCCTAAAAGACAGCCAGGGTTGAATGGAGAAGCAGTTTAGGAACAACAGGTGGTTCTGGGCAGTTCCAACAAAGAGAGGGCATCACTCAGTGCTGCACCCATGTGTGCTGGTAGGGCACTCCTCCAACATTCGTACCCACCAAGCACCACCTCTCCGGGCCCCTTCCTCATCCCATGGAAGTCCCGCCCGTCTTGAAGAGTCACCACCATGCCTTGGAACTTAGAACTCTGCCTCCCTGACAGCCAGGGAGGGAAAGTCTGAAGCAAGAGTTAGTTTTATATTTTTAGCACCCAGCACAGTACCTGGTTCCATTAGTGTCTATCGAAAAGAAGGATGAAAAGATGCATCCCCTCAGACCCAGAAAGTGTTCCTGGGGCCCTGAGGGAACCCTAGGCATGAGGCCCCCTGGAACCATAGCCTGTAGGCCACCAGAATCTTCTGTGTTGAGCTCTGTACCCCCAGAACCTAGCACACAGCTTGGCACAGAGTAGAATCTCAGTAAGCATCTGTTAAAAGGGTGGATGGATGCATAAATGAATGAAGGAATATAGGAAAGGAATAAGTGCCCGAATTTATAACTGCAGCTGAAAGAGCTCACATCCTAAAAGGTGTTTTTATAATGTCCAACCAAATGACACTCTCCCAAACAGGCTTTAGCGGCCCGTCCCGTACATCTGTGCCTGAGTGTCTGGGATGGATGGGGAATAATAGGCTCTGACAGGGCAGTCTGCAAACATCAAAGAGGCCCAAACACCCTGATTCCACCCACGGGGGTTGCAGTCCTAGTCCCCGTTATTCTGCTTGTGTGCCTGGAGGGGGAACTGTTCATGCAGTGTCAACTACCTCCACAGTCCCCGAGCATGGTGTGATCACAGCGCCAGTGACATCCTGGCGGGTCAGGCTGCATGCTCACGTGTGCAAAGGGGGAGACTGAGTCCCTGACCCTGATTTCTGTCAGTAGATTTGAAGATTATATAGGTCAGCAATTGTGTACCTTCCTAAAGGTGCCCTTCCTTTCAGACGCTAGAAGGAATATATAAATTGCACAAACATTTATTCTTTTTTTTTTCCCCCAAGGTTGATCTTTTTCATACTCTCTGATACTTGAAAGCCAGTGATGAGATCAGTTAAATAAATAAGCCATGAGGCTTGGAACAGCAAGTCTAATAGGCACTCAAGGAAAATAAGACCCTATAAAGAAGTGTATAAAATGCAGCGCAGGTAATGTGAGGACTTTCAACGCCTGGGACAGTGGCAGTGTGGTCGCCGGCTTCATTAGCACAGGCCTGATTCTGCAGCTCTGGTAACTGAGTGGGCTGCACCAGCTCCCAGGCAGACAGGGGGACAGAGAGGCTCAGGGGGGGGGGGGGGAGGGGCATGGGAATGGCATTCCGTGCACACAGCCAATATGACCTGTTTCGCATCCTCATAGGATTTCCTGCTCCAGTTTGATTTGAGTGAATAATCTTAACAGTTTCATATTACTCATTTAGGACAAGGGACCCAGAATGTGTGCGCACTCTGCCCGCGGTGGCAGTGATAGTGACAGTGACCCGGACTATGGAAATAATGGTTTTGGAGCTGGAAGGGGCAAGTTAGTGAAAGCAATGAAGAGCGCCACCCCAGGTAACGCACGTGAGCACACGCCATTCCATTCGGGCTCCTCTGTCTGGCAGCCTCTGAGCTCGCCTCCCACTGGGCTGCCTCCACCCCCACCCCCACCCACCCCGATTCTGCATCTTAGCTGCACCTCTCTCCTGAGACCTAATTTTCTGGCATGTACAAAAGATTGTCTGTGCACATCAATTTGTTTCCTGGTATAATCTTCATGACATGCAGTCTGTAAGGATTTTATTTCCAAATCTGGCATCTCCCAAAAAGTCTCCAATTGAGTTATCTCAGTAATGAAGGAATGACTATAAAGATAAGTTTGTTCCTAATTACATACTTTGGCAAGTTAAATCACCGAGTGAGCCATGGACAGAATTTCCAGGCTCTTTGCTCACATCACGCTGTGTAGCTTCGGACCTGTTAGCCATGCCGTTATGAACAGGTCTGTTTATGAGCTTGAAACTCCCTCACTCTATTTCTGTTTGAATCAGAACTGGCAAGAGAAAAATCATCATCTGAGGCCTTTAAAAATATGCCTATTCTGATGGCATCTTCTTACTCACACAAGAGGACAGACATGCCCCTAACACAAAATGTGAGCTGGGTTCTCTCTCTTTCTTCTAAGCTATTCTGGATTGTCAGAGATATTTTAACGATGCAATGAAGAATCATTCTTTTCATACCAATCAGCTTTTTTTCTCAAATACTAATTAAGCAACTATATGATGAATCCATGACTTAAAAAAAAAAAAAAAATATGTTACTTTAGTTTAGAGGGAAACGTAATCTAGCAACCATGCGTGTTTCCAGTTTTCCAAGATTCTTGGCATTTGCAAGGCGGGGGGTAGGAGCGGCGTGTACGAATGCCAGTAACCGGGCCTCCACTCTGCTCCTTGTTCCTACCAGCCCTCAAGAGGCAGGACCAATGGCTGAATCCTGCCAATGCTCACCAGGAAGAAAGTGGCAAACATCTGTGGCATTTGAGTTTGGTTATAGCCCGTGCGCTCTGTGCTTTGTCAGTGTCCCGCGGGTTGTGACAGATAAAGGGGAAGGGAAGCGTGTTGTCATGAGGCCTGCCCAGGGAAGACACCTCGGGCCAGGCCAGCCCCCCGTCCAGCCTCTTCCTTTGAACCTATCATGAGTCCACTGTGAATAACCCCACCTCAAGGCTCCGTCCAAGAATGATGTCCAGGGCCCCTTCCAGCTCTAAAGTCCATTCACTTATCGAACCAATATTTATTGAAAGCCTCCTCCAGGCCAGCTTTCCAGCCGTGAGTAAATGGACCAAGATCCCTGCCAGACAGTAAAAAAATACATCTAATAAACTAGAAAATGTATCTAGTTTGCTGAAAGGCTGAAAGTGCTGTGAACAGAAAAGGGAAATCAGGGTGCAGGGTGGGAGAGCAGGGCTGCGGGACCGAGAGGGGAGGGCGACGTCGGGCAGAGTCCCCACAAGCCTCCCCGAGGAGGCGGTGTTGGCGGAGAGCTGACGGGGGAGCGGGGAGGCCAGGAGGCTGTGTGGGGAAGAGCATGCCCGGCAGAGGGAACAGCCAGAGCAGAAGCCGTGGGAAGGAGCCACAGGCCGCCGGCGCACTGTGGCAGAGAGCAAGCTGGAAGCCAGACAGGGAGCTGAGGTCAGGCAGGGGACGGGGCCAGAGCCGGAGAGGCCCTGCTCTCCCTTCCAAGGACTTTGCTTCTTCTCTGAGAGACATATGTGGGAGCTTTTGGACAACTCTGCAAGCCATGTTTTAAAAGGACCACTCTGGCTGCTGTGTTGTAAAACCTGAAGAAGCAAGACCAACTAAGAGGCTATTATAGCATCCAGGCAAGAGACTAGTGGCTGAAACCAGGTGGCCACAGTGAAAGGGGTGAGCTGCCCAGGCGAGAGGACACTCCTGGGGACGGCAGTGTGTGTGCTGTCCTGTCCACAGCCACGAGCCCTGGGCCCTTACGCCCTTGAAATGCAGCTAGTGTGAATAAGGAACTGGATTTCTAAGTTTAACTTTTGCTCTCATTTTTCTAAGACGTCTCACTTAAGCTATGCCCTTTGCTCTATTTTATTTTATGTTTTGTTATTAACTGGAATTTAAATATGAACAGCCATACATGGCTTGTACCACATAGAGAGTGAGAATGGTCTGACTCCGGATCTCATTGAAAGTACAGCACAATTCACTGATGGAGGTGGGGGGTGTGGAAGGTCGGGGTGGCTCCGCCGTTTGGATCCTTGAAGGGCTGGCGTTCTGCCGACCGAACTCAGGAAGCTGCCTGGGGTTGGGGCAGGTTGGGAGTTAACTTTGGACACGCGAAGTTTGAGGTGCTCGTGTTGAGCAGGTGTTGAGCAGACGATGGGCTGTGTGGGGGGAGTTGGGCAGATCAGATCGGGTCTGGAAATGTAAATTTGAGTGTTAGCAATGTAGACGGCATCGAAGGTCCTGGGCCCAGATGGGATCAGAGGGGAGGCGTGTTGATGAAGAGGACGTGTCCTCCTCCCAACGTGAGAGGCCAGGGAGGAAGAACAGGGAACGAGGTATCTCAGAAGCCAAGTGAAGAAAGATGTCAGAGAGGGACTTAGGACTCCAGGTGTGGTTGTAACTGAAA